GTCTTGCCCGTCAGCGTCTTCACAAAGATTTGCATACCTCCCCGCAGACGAAGCACCAGATGAAGAGTCGACTCCTTTTGGATATTATAATCCGCAAGCGTGCGCCCGTCCTCCAGCTGCTTACCAGCAAAAATAAGTCGCTGCTGATCTGGGGGGATGCCTTCCTTGTCCTGGATCTTCGTCTTCACGTTATCGATGGTATCGCTGCTCTCGACTTCCAGAGTAATGGTCTTGCCCGTCAGCGTCTTCACAAAGATTTGCATGCCTCCCCGCAGACGAAGCACCAGATGAAGGGTCGACTCCTTCTGGATGTTGTAGTCCGCGAGAGTGCGCCCGTCCTCAAGCTGCTTGCCAGCGAAGATAAGACGCTGCTGATCAGGAGGGATTCCTTCCTTATCCTGGATCTTCGTCTTCACGTTATCAATCGTGTCACTGCTCTCAACTTCGAGGGTGATTGTCTTCCCCGTCAGCGTCTTCACAAAGATTTGCATGCCTCCCCGCAGGCGAAGCACCAGATGGAGAGTCGACTCCTTCTGGATATTGTAGTCCGCGAGAGTGCGGCCATCCTCGAGCTGCTTGCCAGCGAAGATAAGACGTTGCTGGTCAGGAGGGATCCCTTCCTTATCCTGGATCTTCGTCTTCACGTTATCAATCGTGTCACTGCTCTCGACTTCGAGGGTGATTGTCTTCCCTGTCAGCGTCTTCACAAAGATCTGCATGCCTCCTCTTAAACGCAGCACAAGATGAAGAGTCGACTCCTTCTGGATATTATAATCCGCAAGAGTGCGCCCATCCTCCAACTGCTTGCCAGCGAAGATAAGACGTTGCTGATCCGGAGGGATGCCCTCCTTGTCTTGAATTTTCGTCTTCACGTTGTCGATAGTGTCACTACTCTCGACTTCGAGAGTGATCGTCTTCCCCGTCAGCGTCTTCACAAAGATTTGCATCCCGCCTCTCAGACGCAGGACCAAGTGGAGAGTCGACTCCTTTTGGATATTGTAGTCCGCAAGAGTCCTACCGTCCTCGAGCTGCTTGCCAGCGAAGATTAGACGCTGCTGATCTGGGGGGATGCCCTCCTTGTCCTGAATTTTCGTCTTCACATTGTCGATAGTATCGCTACTCTCCACCTCGAGAGTGATCGTCTTCCCCGTCAGCGTCTTCACAAAGATCTGCATGGTGATCACTTACCCACACACAAGCAAAGCCAAACCGCCGCGATAGCTCCGAGCACCAACAACAGCCACAAGAACAAACTCTGCCAGTCTAAAACAAACAAGCACAGCCACGGCCAGCGAACAGCGAACAGCGAACAGCGCTCGATCTCTGCTACCCCGCAACGTTCCCATCCGCACTCTGGCCTACATATACCCTTACGGAGCGGCAAGCCGCAGTCAGAAGCCTAAGTCCCCGCGTCGCCAGGGTCGACACCGAAAGCCGAAACGGCAACCCGCGCTCAGTGTGTGACTGTGCGACAATGCGACAGCCCCGCGACGCAATAGGGCCGGGGACGAGACTCCGCCCCCCAGAACGACACAGCAACCGCTACCTTCCGCGTAACTCCGCGTACCGTGCGGCCTCGCCCCACTGCACAACACTCATACATGCATTTGGACTACTTTGGACCAGATACGTTCAAAACGTTGGACTGGTCCAAATGCGAGTAGTCCGAATGACGTCCAAGTCCATGCATGAGGTGTTGTGTAGTGCAGCAGGACCCACAGGACCCATCTAGAAGTCTCGAAGGCCTGTCCCGCCAACTTGTTCCAGATTCCCCGCTTTGCGTTCGCCGCCGTAGAGCCGCGAGATTGTCCGCGGATCAACGAGAGCAGTTCGACGGGAGCGAGGTCCCATACATATTTACCAGGTGGCGAGGTCCCATAAAGCAAAGAGGATTGGATTTACTACCTGAATCTGGACGGGTTTGGGGACGGGTTTGTGGAGAGGTGTAGAAACATTAGCGATTGAACCGCTTTACAGCATCTGCATCTCTGGGTAAGGCTAGTCTACATTCAGTAGCAGAATCCAATCCTCTTTGCTAGTAGTTGCCAGCCCGTCAGGGGTGCGTTTATTCCCCCTTCGAGACATGGAGACATTTTTTCGTCGTCCTTCGTTATACCGGTGGGGTTGTTGGTCGTTCTAAGGCTCGAAAAATGCGAGAAGGTGCAGGTATGGGGAGGTGGCAGTTTGTCTGAAAAATGAGGGACCCGTAGCTGCCGGTGGGACCAAGCTTTGGTTTTTGGTCGGAATGGGTTTTGGTCGAAATCGAAACGGTGGCAAAGCAGGGGCAAATGGAAAGGGCGCACGGGACCGGACCCAGCACTCTTCCACCTACCCGATGCACGGCAGAAGTTCATCGATCCCACCCGCTGATCCTCGGGCAACATAGCATTCACACGCGAGAAGATCCCTGCTGTAAAGTCATTGATGATTCGATAGCGACTCGGCCTTGCTTGCGGCCCAAACAGCTCACTAAGTAGCCTCCATATGAGCCAGGGCCAGCGCACTAGGGCGCTTTGGAGTAAGAGCGACAAAGAAGACAAGCACCCGACGAAAGTGCGCTCTCTCTCTCTCTCTCTCTCTCTCTCTCTCTCTCTCTCTCTCTCTCTCTCTCTCTCTCTCTCTCTCTCTC